TTTTTCAGACCAAGAACCTTGTGTGCAATGAGGGAGAAAGCGAGGAACGGACTGGGAAGGACAGCAACGAGAGCGTGTACGGACGGAGCAGGTCGAGTGGCGTTTTGCTCGGGCTGACTACAGCGGCGCCGGACGGAGCAGTGGCACCGGAGCATGCGGGCGACATCGACCCGTGGCGCACGGACAAACATTTATATCTGTGTTGTCAATTTTTTTCGTTTTTTTTCTGACTTTCCGTGTTGGTTTTGTGTGATGACGTCGTCACCGGTTTTGTAGAGAGACCCGTCAGAGATGGCGTGGCTAACCCGGGTGCCTTGGTTATGTGCCTGATCGTGGAAGACCCCTTCAATGTGGAACGATTCTTAGCTAGTGTCGATATTTTTCACTGCAGTGCCTACACAGACGATCGGGAGAGATTCGGGTGATTGTCAACTGCTGCTATGATGGCTTTGGTTGGTTTTTCTTTTTCACTGTACGGCCACAGACACATTCTGACAGCACTTCAGACAGCAGCTTTGTGCCCCGCCAGCTTCTTGTTCCATGCCTACCATGGTGTTTTTGTACAGACAGCACTTCAGACAGCAGTATGCTGTAGTCGGCAATCTTCCGTTTTGGTATAGAGTGGGACAGGGAGGGGGTGATGCTACTGTAGTCGAACGGTGGGACGGACGTGCAGTTCAGTTTTTGGGCACGCATACGGTGCTGCAGGGATTTAGGTGTACCACTTCGGGCTCTTGGATACCTTTTTCTCGTTATATGTGTGCGTGTTCTTTAGATCCTCAGATGGCTCTAGCACTTTCGTGACCACGGGCTGAGAGTCTTTGCTAGATTTTGGCATTTAGCAACTGACATACGGTTTAATGTGAAGACAACAACAACAACAATTCTGTGTGTCTTTTTTTCAGGATCTTGGTCTTTGGCCTTTTTAGGCTCATTCGTGGTTGTCCCCGGTTGCTGCTGCGCCGAAGCCTAGCGAAACAGAGAGTGTGCTTTTATGCTGTCGTGACCCGTGTAGGACCATGGTCAGAACGGGCGAAATGGTTGGGACGGAAGTCTCAGATTGGTTAGGGTTTTCGAGAAATAACTAAAAAAAACAACGCACGCAAAAAAAAATCGAGTGAAATTATTAGTCTGGAGTAAAGGTACCAATAAAGAGACACCCCCCACTAAGAGACAGACACATAGACGCACAAGTGCATTTATCTCCGCTCACAATCCGCGGGGACCCCTGATTTTTTTTTCAAATTTTCATGCGTTCCGTTAGCTTTCGTTTGAGCACTTCAGCGTCCCGATCGGGTCACGCACCCACAAGATACAGCAACACGCCCTCCCACACCCGTGATGCGGGTCATTTTCATCCCTGTGGCGGGTCTGATGCTAAGCATTGCGAGCATGGGCCGGGCAAGAGTAGACCCACAACAGGGGCAGAAGGCTTGCGATGCGGTCCGCAGTGGTCAGTTGTCTCTCAGGGCTGCTGCCAAGGCCTACGGGGTGAACAAGGACGCGCTCTCGCGACGTTTGAGCGGTGCTATGGCCATGGATGCGAGGGTTGGCCCCGAGACTGTGCTGAGCAAGGCGGAAGAAGATGCGGTGGAAGATGCGTTGATCTACGCTATTTTTCGACAATTTCTTAGTTTCGGTCGGCAGCAGCTCATTGATGCGGTCGGCAGCAGCTCATAGATACGGTGCGAGTGCTCTGCCTCAACGGACGCCCGGTGCCCTGGGACCCAGATAAAGGCCCGGGGCGCAGCTGGCTTAACGGCTTCATGGCGAGGCACCCGGCGTTGTCGAAGCGAACAACTCACATCTACGAGGCAAACCGGATCAACAAAAACGATGAGCCTCGGCTCAAAAGATTTCTACAAGGCACGGGGAGCGTATATCGTGGAGAACAAGCTCACAGCGGACCGCGTGCTCAACACGGATGAGACAGTTGAGTTCTGGCAAGGTCTGAGGCATCAGTATCGACTGCTGTGCGTTCGTACGCGAGGTATCAGCAGCTCTGTAGTGTGCCACAACAAATCGAAGTTCTGCTGAAGAAAAAAAAATCATGTTTCGCCAAGTTCCCCCGCACATCTTTTTGCCGCTACAGTGCCGGCCCGCACTTAAGAACCTCCTATATTGGGCGAGGTTCAGTTCTTATTGGCTGCCCTAACCCGGGGGGTACCGTGGCACGCGGGGGTGCTACAGGGAGCTGACAGGTTTATGGCCTCTTGGCACAAGGGCGAGGAGAAGGCCAGCCGACAACGAGCCATCAAACGAGGAGACAGCGGGCCCAAAAATGTACGGAGAGATTGAGACAGAAGGAGGTACTGGATAGAGAGACCGGGATGGTTGTTAATGTGAAGACAGCAACAACCCGAGCACCAGTTCTTATTTACCAAGTTCTTTTTTCGTCGTCCATTCTTCTCCAGAAAGGGGCGTTCTTGTTCTTACAGTATTTTAACATCACTTGCTATGTTGTCGGCTGTCAACCACGAGACTAGTACTGCTGTCGATACAAGAAAATACCGAGGCATGGAGCAGCAACTGTCAACCTTCTTGGTCCACAAGGGTGACGTTGGTCCTGCGTACCCTTCCTGATCTACTAATGCTCTCAAGCAAAACCCAGGAGCCTACTGCCGCATCCGAATCTCCGCTGTACTTGTCTGAGGGCAACTTCATCTTGCGCATACTCTGGTCTAGCTCCAGCTGCACACAGTAGTCGTACAGGTGGCGAGTGTCCTTCTGAGATTGTTCAGTGATCAGCCCTCCAAACCACCCCATGCCCAGCCTAACGAGCACTCCACGCCGCAAAAGCAATCTGTCAAGAGCAACGGGTTAGCTTCTTGAAT